ATGATGATGGACAGTGACTGTAATAGGGAATGTGCTGAGGACTTGATAATGGGAGGAATCTAGTAACCACACTGTTGCTCATGTGATTGTATATTAAGGATACCCCCCCAAAATCCTTTTACTCAATATGCTATAGAAAATAAACACATTTACATAGTTTAAAAAAATAAAGAATAGACCATAAATAAATAAAATCAAGAAGAATAAAACAATGGAAAGAATCAATGAAAGCAGAAGCTGGTTCTGAGAGAAAATAAAAAAGTAGATAAGCCCCTATCCAGGCTTATGAAGAAAAAAAGAGTCTACACACATAAACAAAATCAGAAATGAGAAAGGAAAAATCACTAAGGACACCACAGAAATAAAAAGTTATTAGAGAATACTATGAAAAATTATATGCTAACAAACTGGAAAACCTAGAAGAAATGGACAACTTTCTAGAAAAATACAACATTCCAAGGCTGACCCAGGTAGAAACAGAAAATCTGAACAGACTAATTACCAGCAATGAAATCGAATTGGTAATAAAAAAATTACCTAAGAACAAAACACCTGGACCAGATGGCTTCACTGCTGAATATTATCAAACATTTAGTGAAGACCTAATACCCATCCTCATTAAAGTCTTCCAAAAAGTAGAAGAGGAAGGAATACTTCCAAACTCATTCTATGAGACCAGCATCACTCTAATATCAAAATCAGGCAAAGACACCACAAAAAAAGAAAATTACAGACCAATATCCTTGATAAGCAAACATGGAAAAATCCTCAGCAAAATATTAGCAAACTGAATTGAAAAATACATTAAAAAAATCATCCATCATGATCAAGTAGGATTTATACCATGGATGCAAGGATGGTACAATATTCGAAAATCCATCAACATCCACCACATCAACAAAAAGGACAAAAACCACATCATCATCTCCATAAATGCTGAAAAAGCACTTGAAAAAACTCAACATCCATTCATGATAAAAACTCTCAACAAAATGGGTATGGAGGGCAAGTACCTCAACATAATACAGGCCATATATGATAAGCACTCAGCCAACATCATACTTAACAGCGAGAAGCTGAAAGCATTTTCTTTAAGATCAGGAACAAGACAAGGCTACCCACTCTCCGCACTTTTATTCAACATAGTTCTGGATGTCCTAGCCACAGCAATCAGAAAACACAAAGAAATAAAAGGCATCCAGATTGGTAAGGAAAAAGTTAAACTGTAACTCTTTGCAGATGACATGATATTGTACATAAAAAAACACTAAAGTATCCACTCCCAAACTACTAGATCTAAAATCTGAATTCAGCAAAGTTGCAGGATATAAAATTAATAGACAGAAATCCATTAGATTCCTATATACTAATGAAGAACTAGCAGAAAGAGAAATCAAGAAAACAATTCCATTCACAATTGCATCAAAAAGAATAAAATACGTATGAATAAACCTGAGGAAGTGAAAGACCTATACTCTGAAAACTACAAGACACTCATGAGAGAAATTAAAGAAGATACCAATAAAAGGAAATACATCCCATGCTCATGGGTAGGAAGAATTAATATTGTCAAAATAGTTATCCTGCCTAAAGCAATCTACAGATTCAATGCAATCCCTATCAAAAGACCAATGACATTCTTCAATGACCTAGAGCAAATATTTCTAAAATTCATAAGGAACCACAGAAGACCCCGAATAGCCAAAGCAATCCTGAGAAGGAAGAATAAAGTTGGAGTGACTATGCTCCCTAACTTCAAGCTGTACTACAAAGCCACAGTAATCAAGACAATTTGGTACTGGCACAAGAACAGACCCACAGATCGATGGAACAGAAGAGAGAGACCAGATATAAACCCACACATACATGGCCAATTAATATACAATAAAGAAGCCACAGATATACAATGGGGAAATGACAGCCTCTTCAACTGCTGGTGTTGGCAAAACTACACAGCTACATGTAAGAGAATGAAACTGGATTATTCTCTAATTCCATACACAAAAGTAAGCTCATAATGGATCGAAGGCCTGAATGTAAGTCATGAAACCATAAAAACTCTTAGAAGAAAACATAGGCAAAATCTCTTGAATATAAACATGAGCAATGTTTTCCTGAGCACATCTCCTCAGGCAAAGGAAACAAAAGCAAAAATGAACAAATGGGACTACATCAAGCTGAAAAGCTTCTGTACAGCAAATGACACCATCAGCAAAACAAAAAGGCATCCTACAGTATGGGAATTAATTTCACATATTTGTGAATTACATATCCAACAAGGGGTTAACATTTAAAATATATAAAGAACTCATACACCTCAACACCCAAAAAGTAAATAACCCTATTAAAAATGGGTGAGGATATGAACAGACACTTCTCCAAAGAAGAAATTCGTATGGCCAACAGACACACAAAAGGATGTGCCACATTGCTAATTATCAGGGAAATGGAAATTAAACAACAATGAGATATCACTTCACACCAGTTAGGATGGCCAACATTGAAAAGACAAGGAACAACAAATGCTAGTGAGGATGTGGCGAAAGGGGAACCCTCCTACACTGCTGGTGGGAATGTAAGCTAGTTCAAAGCAATATGGAGGTTCCTCAAAAAACTAAAAATAGAAATACCATTTGACCCAGGAATCCCACTCCTAGGAATTTCCCCAAAGAAAACAAGTTCTCAGATTCAAAAAGACATATGCACCCCTATGTTTTTTTCAGCACTATTTACAATAGTCAAGATATGGAAGCAACCTAAGTGTCCATTAGTAGATGAATGGATAAAAAAGAGATGGTATATATACACAATGGAATATTATTCAGCCACAAGAAAGAAACAAATCCTACCATTTGCAACAATGGATTTGATTAAAGAATAAAATACCTATGAATAAACCTAACTGAGGAAGTGAAAGACCTATACTCTGAAAACTACAAGACACTCATGAGAGAAATTAAAGAAGATAACAATAAAAGGAAATACATCCCATGCTCATGGATAGGAAGAAATAATATTGTCAAAATAGTTATCCTGCCTAAAGCAATCTACAGATTCAATGCAATCCTATCAAAAGACCAATGACATTCTTCAACGACCTAGAGCAAATATTTCTAAAATTCATAAGGAACCACAGAAGACCCCGAATAGCCAAACAAATGGATGGAGCTGGTGGATATTATGCTCAATGAAATAAGCCAGGCGGAGAAAGACAAGTACCAAATGATTTCCCTCATTTGTGGAGTATAACAATGAAGCAAAACTGAAGGAACAAAATAGCAGCCGACTCAGACTCCAAGAAAGGAATAGAGGTTACCAAAGGGGAGTGATGGCAGAGAGTAAGTGGGGAGGGTGGGAGAAGGGGATTGAGGTGTATTATGATTAGTACTCATGGTGTAGGGGTGGTCAGAGGGATGACAGTGTAGCACAGAGAAGAGTAGTAGTGACCCTGTGGCATCTTACTACACTGATAGACAGTGAATTCAATGGGGTATTGGGGGGACTTGATAACATGGGTGAATGTAGTAACCACAATGTTTTTCATGTGAAACCTTTGTAAGAGTGTATATCAATGATATTTTAATAAAAAGAAAAAGGAAAGAAAAGAAAGAAAGAAAGAAATAGAAAGAAAGAGAGAGAGAGAGAAAGAAAGAAAGAAAAAGAGAAAGAGAGAGAGAGAAAGAAAGAGAGAGAGAGAGAGAGAGAGAGAGAGAGAGAGAAGGAAGGGAGGGAGGGAGGGAGGGAAGAAGGAAGGAAGGAAGATAAAAATTATAAAGTGAAGGGACATATGACCTTAGGAACTTCCAGTTAACATAAGAATTCAAAACGCACCCTCCCCATTTCAAAGTTCACTCCCCATCCCAAACCCTCTAAGAGTAGTTCTGTCCCAAGTTAAGACAATGAGTACATCCCTGTATTTTCAGCTTCATCTCTTGTCTTTCTTGCTTAATGCTCCACATTTAACCAAAGGCACCATGTTCTTTTTCTATTTCTTTTAACTGGAATATTTTTCTTTGATCCTCTCAACTGGATCACTTTTTTTTTTGTATCATTAATCTACAATTACATGAGGAACATTATGTTTACTAGACTCCCCCCGTCACCAATTCCCCCCACGTTCAACTGGATCACTTTTACCTCATCCTTCATTATCTCAGCTTGCATGTGAACTTCTCTTGAGGAAACCCTCACTGATCTTCAAGGCTGGGGTTAGGGGTACCCAGAATAACTTCTACATAAGCTCTATTTGATTGCCTATGTAACTTACCCCCTAGCCTGTGAGCTCTAGATGTCTCCATCCTGTTTATTACTATATCTTTAACAGCCAGTACTGTAGTTAGCATATGGTAGAAGCTTAATAAATATAGATTCGATGAATAGTAAAAGAGGGAAATGAGAAAATAAGAAATATCCAGTTTTTTAATCTACCAATCTAAAGCAGAGATAAAATGTTTGGTAGACATAAACAATTAGAAAAATCCCCCATTTTCGATGCAACACACTTCTGAAGATGCTTCATAAAATGAATGGAAAGGTTATAATTGCACCAACAGCCCAACAATGTCATTTAAAAAAGTCTCCAGCATTCCCATAAAAAACTCCATTAATCTGAAAATATTATTAAAAATGGTAAAAACTATGTTCTGATATATATTGTGTACATCAATTATACCAGGGCTGGTAAAAATACAACTCTTACAAAATTCAACTAAGCATATTAATATTGAAATGGGAATAATCTAAAAAACATTCAAATATTGATATATTTTGGCCTCTGGAAAGGTATCTTCCCATTCCAATAAACTCAGAAGCATTCTAGTTTACACATAGTAAACTTCTGACTTGGTGATATGTATCAGTTTCCTAGGGCTTATTCATTTCAAGGTGAGCTAACAGATGTTGAATCTGTCTTGCTTATATTTCTGTATGTAGGACTTAAAACTTAAGGTCTCAATGAAGTCTGTCAGAACAGCAAGAGCACCACACATAAATTACATTACCAATATGATGAACATTTTCCTTGATGACCTCGCATTCTTTTGGCCATCATGGATCCTGCAGTGGCTGGCTGCTAGGGAAAAAGGCAAAGAGATCTCGGGGTTCTCGAAGACGTGGGTTTAGTTCACCAAATTCATCATGAAGAAGCTGTCTGCTCTTAACAAGTGGTGAACTCAGCATAAGGGGCCCTGCCAGGGGGAAAGGAAAAGAGTTAATAGTTTCCTCTTCCTTCTTGGGAACTTAACTGCTCAACTATACTAAGTAACTTTAAGGACTGTATTAACATATGTGCATAGGTGTGTAATTCTCTGACATGTTTCTCCTTCAAGGAGATTTAGTCTAGGATGACAGCATCAAAACCATAAAATGTTAAGTTAAATTTCTGCATAGTGATTAAGTAGTTAACTGTACAGCTGTAGAGTAAGTTAGAAGGATTTTTCTTGTTTTTTAAATCAAAGCTAAAAGACCTAAGACATTTTAACAATGGGTTACAAATAAATAAGTTATTTACTCTGTCTTATTATTTTTAGAAGGAAGCAAAAGAGGGAACTTTCAATTCTCCCAGTCGCATTTTAGAAAGAAGTACATAAAACTTAATAAACAAATTAATTGGTAGTTTATTTAAGTGAAATTTATTTCAGTGAAATTAAATTTCAAGTTCATAATACAAGCATTCTAAGGACAGGGAGCCTAATAAGACAAAAAAGAGGGTAAGAGGAGAGATAGAAGAGAGAAAGAAGACTCTTGGGAAATAGAGAATGAGAAAAAAAGGAAAAGGAAGACTCTTAGGGAGAAAAAAGAAGTGAGGAAATAAGAGGAAAAATGAAAGAAAGTAAATGAAAGAGGGAAGGAAAGGTGGAAGGCTTCTGGATGTGGTAACTCCCAACTCTGGTTGGGAGAGCAGAGAGTTGAAGACATGGACCCATAAGGCACTCTGACTATTTTGTTCTGGAAGGACATGAAACACCTCTGTTCACAGCTTCTGTCTGTTTGTGCACAATTGAAGACAGACAGGTAGGTTCTAGAAAGAGGAAGGAGGAAGCATAGTTTGTCCTCGGGATCTTTGTCTTTTTTCTGCCCTCTTTCCCCTATCTCGTTCCACCCTCCACTCCACTGTGGAGCCCTGTATTTCTATCTCAAAATCTTTCCCCAGTGTTTAATGGGAGGGTGATGGGGAAGCCAATAAACATTTTAAAAGATAGTGAAGCTGCTCAATCTCAAAAATAAAGAAATGTAAATCAAAATGACAAGCAAAGTCCAGTTTTTCACTTTATAGACAAAAACATTTATGTGTTCACTCATTCTGGCAAATGTGTAAGTAAACAGGTACTCTCAGAACCTGCTGGCAAGAAGGCAAATTGGTGAAACTTTTCTGGAAAGCAGTTTGGCACTATCTAGTAAGATTTAAAATACAGATAACTTTTGAATCAGCAATCCCACTATTATGAATTTGCCTTATAGATTTTCTCACAAAAGTTAGTCAGGATAAATACACAAAGATACCAACTGCAGCAATCCTGAAATCACAAAAATGTGGAAATAACCAAAGCATCCATCAAAAGAGAAGTTAAAATAATTATATTACTGGGATAGAATATTGTCAGTGCTCTTAAAAAAAGCAATTTTTTTCTGAAAAGAATGACAACAGTGGCTATATTAGACATGGGGCAGGAAGGGCTTTTGGTTTTCCTTTTGTGCTTTTCCTATCATTTGAATTTTCTAGTTTATACATATATTCCCTTCTTTTTTTAAGCAAGCAGATTGTAACTTATTACAAAGAAAGAAAAAATATCTTTCTCACTCCACTGATCAAAACAGAAAATAAAAGGGAGTCAGATTATCAATACACTCAAACTTACATTGTTGTGTTACCTCTACCAGCTGAGTTTACAGTTTATTTTTTTTATTATATTAAGATTAGAAATCGTTTCCTAATGTTATTTCAAGTGTCAGCACATGGGGAAGGGGGAAATTAAAGGGGGGCCCTTGTCCTTCTACTTCATCAGGAGTTCTGAGACAAAGAATGGAAGAGCCTTCAGGCATTGGGATAAGCAACACATAATACATATATCTGAAAATGGAAGTACTACAAAAAGGGGTAAACACTGTTTTATATTTCTGAGGTATTGGCAATTTGCCTTCCTAAAATAGTCTACCTATCCACATTCCTAATGCCAATGTAGGAGAGTGTTCCCCCATGCACTGACCTATACTTGGTATATTCTTTAAAAAAGTTTCGCCCTCAAACAACAAATGCTGGCAAGGATACGGAGAAAGGGAAACCCTCCTACACTGCTGGTGGGAATGTAAACTAGTTCAACCATTGTGGAAAGCAGTATGGAGATTCCTCAAAAAGCTAAAAATAGAAATACCATTTGACCCAGGAATTTCATTCCTAGGAATTTATCCTAAGAATGAAGTTTCTCAGTCTCAAAAAGACATAGGCACCCCTATGTTTATCGCAACACTGTTTACAAAGCCAAGAAATGGAAGCAACCTAAGTGTCCATCAGTAGATGAATGGATAAAGAAAATGTGGTACATATACAAAATGGAATATTACTTAGCCAGAAGAAGAAAACAAATCCTACCATTTGCAACAACATGGATGGAGCTACAGGGTATTATGCTCAGTGAAATAAGCCAGGCAGAGAAAGACAAGTACCAAATGATTTCATTCATATGTAGTGCATAAGAACAAAGAAAAAACTGAAGGAACAAAACAGCAGCAGACTCACAGAACCCAAGAATGGACCAACAGTTGCCAAAGGGAAAGGGACTGGAGGATGGGTGGGAAGGGAGGGATAAGGGGAATAAGGGGCATTATGATTAGCACATAATGTAGCAGGGGGGCACAGGGAAGGCAGTAAAGCACAGAGAAGACAAGTAGTGATTCTACAGCATCTTACTATGTTGATGGACAGTAACTGTAATGGGGTATGTGGTGGGGGATTTGATAATAGGGGGAATCTAGTAACCACAATGTTGCTCATGTAGTTGTATATCAATGATACAAAAAAGTTTTGCCCAGAGAGGATTTAAGATGGAGGAATAGGAAGGCAGATGGAAACTGCCTCCCAAAAACAAGTAAAAGAGGAAAATACATCAAATCCAACCAGACCTGAAAAGGACCTGAAGACTGCAGAGCAGACCCCACTATACCAGAGGAAGGTGAGAGGACCATACAGGGAGGGGCCAGAAGGCACAGCAAAGATACCTAGTGCAAATGAAGAAACACAGAAACCCTGAAAAAAATGGGTAGGCAGAGGAATATGATCCAAAGAAAACTACAACACAGAACCAAGAAAGATGGCTAAAAGAAACAAAGATCACCAATATTCTTCATAAAGATTTCAAAATATAAGTCATGATAGTCTATGCAAGAAGAAAGACAGTCCATGCAAAAAATAGAAAAAAGCAGAAGTAGCAGTACTTACATTATAGAAAACAGATTTCAAAACAAAGACAGTAACAAGAGACAAAGAAGGACATTACATAATGATAAAAGGATCAGTCCAGCAAGATGATATAACCATTATAAATGAGATAGAAAACCTGGAAAGAGCCATTCAGAGCTGAAGAATACTGTATTTGAAATGAAACATATAATGGAGAGATTTAAAAGCAGACAACATGAATGCAAAGAAGCAGAGGAACAGAGAGAATAAAGGATCTCTAGAAATGAAAAAATGATAAGAGAGCTATGTGACCAATCCAAACAAAACAATTTTCACATAATAGGGGTGCCACAAGGAGAAGAGAAAGACAAAGGTATGGAAAGTCTCTTTAAGGAAATAACTTATGAAAACATCCACAATCTGAGGAAGAAAATAGACACCGAGGTCATAGAAGTGCAGAGATCCCATAACAAAAGAAATGCAGGAAGACAACACCAAGACATATAATAATTAAAATGGCAAAGATCAAGGATAAGGAGAGAGTGTTGAAAGCAGCCAGAGAGAGAAAAAAGAATACTTATAATGGAAATCCCATCAAGCTATCAGCAGACTTCTCAACAGAAACTACAGGCCAGAAGGGAGTGTCATGATATATTTAATGTACTGAAAAACAGAAGGACCGCCAATCCAGAATCCTCTATCTGGCAAGACAATCATTTAAATTTGAAGTAGGTATTTAAAAATTTCCAGATAAACAAAAGTTGAAAAATTTTCCCCCAGTAAAACAGCCTTACAGGACATGTTAAAGGAACTGATATAGATGGAAATCATCCTAAGGCTAAATAGCTTTCACCAGTGAAAATAAACCTACAGTAAAGGCAGCAAACTAATTACCAAACAAGTATGAAATTAAAACAGAAAAAAAAGCAAAAACAATTATACACAATTATCACAGGATACACAAAAACTGCAGATTATGACATCTAATATGAAAAATGTGGAGGAGGAAGAAGACAAAAAGTACCTTTAGATTGTGTTTTAAACTGAGTAATCAGCAATTTAAGGTACATTATTTATGATTATTTTTTTATTGACTTAAGTGGATGATACCTTTTCAACCACCTGTGGCTTTAAAAAAATTTTTTTTTATCATTAATCTACAATTACATGAAGAACATTATGTTTACTAGGCTCCCCTTTCACCAAGTCCACCGAACAAACCCCATTACAGTCACTGTCCATCAGCGTACTAAGATGCTGTAGAATCACTACTTGTCTTCACTGTGTTATACAGCCCTCCCCATGCCCCCACCCACATTATACATGCTAATCATAACGCCCCCTTTCTTTTTCCCCAGCCCTTATCCCTCCCTTCACACCCATCCTCCCCAGTCCCTTTCCCTTGGTAACTGGTAGTCCATTCTTGGGTTCTGTGATTCCGCTGCTGTTTTGTTCCTTCAGTTTTTCATTGTTCTTATACTCCACACATAAGTGAAATCATTTGGTACTTGTCTTTTTCTTCCAGGCTTATTTCACTGAGCATAACACCCTGTAGCTCCATCCATTGTTTTGGCTATTTGGGGTCTTTGGTGTTTCCATATGAAATTTTGGAGTATTTGTTCCAGTTTGTTGAAGAATGCTGTTGGTAATTTGATAGGGATTGCATCAAATCTGTATATTGCTTTGGGCAGGATGGCCATTTTGATGATATTAATTCTTCCTAACCAAGAGCATGGGATGAGTTTCCATTTGTTAGTGTCCTCTTTAATTTCTCTTAAGTGTCTTATAGTTTTCAGGGTAAAGGTCTTTCACTTCCTTGGTTAGGTTTATTCCTAGGTATTTTATTCTTTTTGATGCAATTGTGAATGGAATTGTTTTCCTGATTTCTCTGTTAGTTCATTGTTAGTGTATAGGAAAGCCACAGATTTCTGTGTATTAATTTTGTATCCTGCAACTTTGCTGAATTCAGATATTAGTTCTAGTAGTTTTGCAGTGGAGTCTTTAGGGTTTTTTATGTACAATACCATGTCATCTGCAAATAGTGACAGTTTAACTTCTTCTTTACCAATCCGGATTCCTTGTATTTTTTTGTTTTGTCTAATTGCTGTGGCTAGGAACTCAGGTACTATGTTGAGTAACAGTGGGGAGAGTGGGCATCCCTGTCTTGTACCTGATCTCAGAGGAAAAGCTTTCAGCTTCTCGCTGTTCAGTATGATGTTGGCTGTGGATTTATCATATATGGCCTTTATTATATTGAGGTACTTGCCCTCTATGCCCATTTGTTGAGAGAATTTTTATCATGAATGGATGTTGAATTTTGTCGAATGCTTTTTCAGTGTCTATGGAGATGATCATGTGGTTTTTGTCCTTTTTATTTATGTCATGGACGATGTTGATGGATTTTTGAATGCTGTACCATCCTTGCATCTCTGGGCTCAATCCCACTTGGTCATGGTGTATGATCCTTTTGATGTATTTTTTAATAGGGTTTGCTAATATTTTTTTGGTCTGTAATTGTTTTTGGTGGGGTTTTTGCCTGGCTTTGGTATTAGGGTGATGTTGGCTTCATTCGAATGAGTTTGGGAGTATTCCCTCCTCTTCTATTTTTTGGAAAACTTTAA